GGGGGGGAAGGGCGGGTCAGCATGATGGAATCCGGGAGGGTATGAACGCGGGAGAGTTAAGGCTTTGGAGGGTTTCATATTAGGGAGATGTGGAGTTCGATATGTGGTTACAAGACGGGCGGAAAGTCCGGCGGAGGAGTCGGGTGTGTGTGTGTGTGTGTGTGAGGGGAGAAAAGACGAACCACGAGTGAGTGAAGCTGCTGCCAAGGAAAGAGTGCTGCGGCAGATGTGCGGAAGAGAATTTGGTAAAGAAAGCGAAGGGGGAGAGGGGTACTGCACTACAGGAACCAAAAAGGAAAAAGATTATAAAAACATGAACGAATTAATTTCGATGTACGAGCACATGGTGCGGTACACATAGATACATACATACATGCAAATGCACAACACTCTCACTCACCGGCGATGCGGCCATCCTTCACTTTCTTGGCAGACGTCAGAGGGAACGTCGCCACCACCTCCGCCTGGCCGACCTCCGCCAGTGCTGCCGCCGCGGCGGCGGAGCCGCTACCGCCTGCCGCCGCCGCCCCGTCCGCCGCCGCCCGCTGCACCTCCGCCCGCAGGGCATCCATCAGGTGATATACGACATTGTGCGACAGCAGCCGTACTCCGCTAGACTGGGCGGAACGTAGCGAGGATTCCGCCTGCGAATGAGAATGCGAATTCATCCAGTGTCGTACACGTTTTTTCTGTTTTTTCGGAATTTTCTCCAACAAACTCCATTAAATTCAACTTTTACCAAGAGTAAGTGTTGAAGTAATGAGTACGGTAAAGAATTTCGGAGGCTGATGGAAACTGAGAAATGAATACAAATACAAATTAATAAACAGCAGGAGACGTGGGCGGGTGCTGAAGGTTGGGACAGGTAAGCAACATAAACTACAATTAAATATGAATAAAATATGTTATGATTAGATTTGATTTTTTAATAAGACGAAAAAAGGTCCCGAACACCTCAAAAACAATCTGAGTTTAACCCCCGAACCTCGGGTCCTAGGTTCAAGAAGCAGCAAAGCCGATGCGACGCAACGGAAAAGGTCCAAATCACAACTAACATAACTAATTAACCACGTACGGCAGCCCTCCGTACCTCCGGGCCCAGCCCGGCGTTGAACAGCATCACGTGCGCTCCCGCCGCCACTGCCAGGTTCAGATCTGAGGGGGACAGCGGACCAACGCCGGCGTGTACGACCTTGACGGCGACGCGGCCGCCGCCGCCGCCGGCCGCCGCCGCCGCGGCGCGCTGCTCCTCCTCCAGGCCGTTCACCAGCGCCATCACCGCCTCAACGGAGCCCTGGTGAGCGTAGCAACGAAATAAAATTTACGATATTAATATATTAATACATAAGAAAAAGTCTTG